CGGGGCTCGATCCCAGGGCCCTGGGATCATGACCTGAGCCGAAGGCAGACGCTTAAGGACTGAGCCACAAAGGCGCCCCATCAACTGTAAGTTTTAGGTTCAGGGCTGAGCTGCACTTGTCTGCAAGAGACCCAAAACAGCACAGCAAAGGCTTTGACAGCTAACAGTTACTCATGGGCCCCTGAGTGGTACACGTTCAGGACAGACCCAGAGCAACAGAGCAGAGGCTTTGAAAACTGAACTGAGATTGAAACCATCACAGAAGGTGATACAAAACCTGTAATGTGAACTCAATCAGGTTGATCGCCTGCTTAAACAAACATACATTCTCCAGAGGAGGATTTTAACAGGATCCAGAGGCAGCGCAATGTTAACTGTCACTATGTTCAGGAGGCGACAGAAAACGACCTGTGTAAAAATTAGTAAGAGGAAACTTTGTTTAAAATGAAGTCAGGAGGCCAGCAGGGGGAGCTCTCATGCCCTGCCACTCGTGGTCAACTGCAGATCCAACAGCAGGAGACGTAACTTGCAAATAGGCAAGTTGGGTACTACTTCTAAATACTACCTTACTATCCTAGCAGGAAGGAAGAGAGGTTTTCCTCCTCCTCTGGCAACAGCCCAGTCCGTGAGAGATTGTCACAACTCAGTCAATGAAAAGCCACTATACTTTGAATTCCCACTTTACTCCACTGGGCTTTTTGTTTATAACAGTTCTCCCAACTTCCCCCTTTCTTCCATAAAAGAGGAGTCCTCTCCTTTGTTCTCCAGACTTGCTAATGGCTTTGCCATTGCTTGCGGCCCCAGACCGCAATTCTCTGCTATTCCCAAATAAATCCATTTTTGCTGGTAAAATAACTACTGGCTGTTTTATTTATTTTTATTTTTTATTTTATTTTTTTTAAAGATTTTATTTATTTGACAGAGAGAGACACAGCGAGAGAGGGAACACAAGCAGGGGGAGTGGGAGAGGGAGAAGCAGGCTTCCCGCAGAGCAGGGAGCCCGATGCGGGGCTTGATCCCAGGACTCCGGGATCATGACCTAAGCCTAAGGCAGACGCTTAACGACTGAGCCACCCAGGCGCCCCTGGCTGTTTTATTTTTAAGGTTAACACCTGTCATACAAAGAACCAGGAAAATGTGGCCAAATCCTGAGGGAAAAGACAATCACCAAAACAACTCTGAGATAACACAGGTGTTGGAATATTCAAAGACTCTAAATCTGCTATTATATGTTGCAGGAGGTAAAGATAAACACACGTGAGAGAAATATAAAGAAAGACATTTTCAGCAGAGAAACAAAACATAAAAAAGAACCAAGTGGAAATTTTGAACTGAAAAGTACAGTATCTGAAAGAAACAAGTTCACTGGATAGGTGTAATAGCACAGTGGAGATGATGAAAGAAAGCAGCAGTGAACTTGAAGATAGACAAATTAACAGAAATTAGCTAAACTGCAGAGCAGAACGGGATAAAAAGGCTGAGAAAACAGAACATAGGAGCATCAGGGACCTGTGACCAGAGAAAGTCTACTACATTCAAGAAACTGTCCAGGGGATCAGAAGGTCTAACATACAAGAAAGACAGGTGAAAGAGGCTGAGAAAAATTATGTGAAAAAGTAATGGCTAAAAACTTCCCCAATTTGGTGAAAGACGTATATTTACAGATTCCAGAAGCTTGGTGAGCTTGATGAACTTAAATTCAAGGAAAATCATGCCTAGATCTGTCAAAATCAAACTACTGAAAGACAAAGGTAAAGAAAAAAAATCTTGAAAGCAGCCAGAGAAAAATGAAATACTACATAAAGAGCAAGGATTGAATGCAGAGTCCAGGATAGCTAAAAGACACTGGAACATCTCCAAGTATGGAAAGTAAGGGACTATGAATCAGAAGCCTATATGCAGTGAAAATATTTTCAGTAATGAAGGTGAAATAAAGACGTTCTGATATGAAGTAAAACTTAGAAAGCTATTGTCAGCAGAATTGCCCTAAAAAAAAAAATGCTGAAGATGAAGGGAAAGGATACCAGAAGGAGATCTGGATGCTCAGGAATGAAGGAAGAGCAACAGAAAATTTAACTATCTAGGTTAACATAAAAATCCTTATTTTTTTCTCTTAAATTCTTTAAAATATGTATGATTATTGAGAAGATAGGCAGGAATAAGGCAGGTGCTCTTAGTTAGGGGAGACTAAGCTACTGTAACAAAAATTCAGTGATTTAAGCAACAGATTTGGGGCATCTGAGTGGCTCTGTCAGTTAAGCACCAGACTCTTGATTTTGGCTTAGGTCATGATCTCGGTTGTGAGAATGAGCCTCGTGTCGGGCTCCACGCTCAGCAGGTAGTCTGTTCGAGGTTTTTTTCTCTCTCTCTCTCCCCCTCTGTCCGCCCCCACCCCAATAAACAAACAAACAAACAAACAAACAAATCTTTAATAAAACAACCAGGGGCACCTGGGTGGCTCAGTTGGTTAAGCGACTACCTTCGGCTCAGGTCCTGATCCTGGAGTCCCGGGATCGAGTCCCGCATCGGGCTCCCTGCTCTGCAGGGAGTCTGTTTCTCCCTCTGACCCTCCCCCCTCTCATGTGCTCTCTCTCATTCTCTCTTTCTCAAATAAATAAATAAAATCTTTAAAAAACAACAACAACCGGTTTTTTAACAGTCAGAGGGAAGAATTCTCTCTGGCCTTTCTGCTCACATTCTATTGGCGTCCTTAACAGCAAATTCAGCTGGGAAATGTAGGGGGCTAGGGCAGTCATGCACTGGGTTATAATTCAATTACTTAGGAAGGGCAAATGGATTTTGATGAATAGCTAGCAGCCTCTCCCACAGCAGGTGAAAGAGAAAGGAGGCATTTTGGATAGAGGGGACCATATGATCAAAGGTAAGGAAGAGAGAAGCCACATGTAAGGAACTAATAGCAATTTTGATGTCGTTGGAATGTAAAGAGATAAAGCTAGAGAGGTGGGTGGGGAGCAAATGAAGCTGGATTTTATTCTTGAGGAGTTGAAGGGTTTTATGTAGCAGATTTTCATTTCAGTGAGCTACTCAGGGGTGAAAGATGAGAGAACAGAAGACTAGAGGGGAGAAAACCAATTAGGAACTCAGGGGAATAGTTTTGGTGAGAGGTGATAACGTTTTAAAAGTAGGCTGTGATAACAGCATAGAGGGCTGGTTTCAGAAATATCATCTGTTGAGGTAAAATTGGCAGGACTTGATGAGGAGGGAGAAAGAGAAGCATCAAGGCAGGATCTCACTTTCCTTACAAAGATGACTGGGTGGGTGGTGATATCAGCATGGAGTATCAAAGAGCAGGGGCAGATTTATTTAGGAAAAAAAGGAGTCTGGTTTTAGGTGATAAAGATGAAATACTGTTAGGCTTGAATTCCTACAGAATAGTTTTGGTTATATTAAATCTCAGTGAGCCAGTTGGAGGTGTGTCGCTCAAAGACAGAACTCCTCCATGGAGGAGGCACACAAAATCCTTTGTAACCTACTTCTCATATAACCTTCTATTCTCTTCAATACATACACATTTTGTTTCAGCCACATCAAACTTTTCTCAAAGAGGCCTTCCCTGACTCTGAAATCTACAACAGGTTCTCTCACATCACAGCCTCTGTACTTTGAGGTAATCTGGGAAGGGCTTAATGACCAAATGGATGGGGCTGGAGAGATGGGTTGGAAAGGAAATGACGAGGAGATTTAGGTTTGTAGTCTGGGAGCCTAAGTGCGTAAAAGTAATTGGGTGCAAAAGCACATTTCCGATAGACAATAACAAATATTCACACGTCTTGAGGCCGTGGTCTGGTCAAAGAGCAAAAGGAAACAAAAAGCTGGAATTGGGGGCGCCTAGGTGGCTCAGTTGGTTAAGCGACTGCCTTCGGCTCAGGTCATGATCCTGGAGACCCGAGATCGAGTCCCGCATCGGGCTCCCTGCTCGGCGGGGAGTCTGCTTCTCCCTCTGACCCTCCCCCCTCTCATGCTCTCTCTCAAATAAATAAATAAAATCTTAAAAAAAAAAAAAAGCTGGAATTGGATAAAGAAGACAAGGCCTTTCCTTTCCTCAGGGATCCTGGAAATCCACGTCCTGCTCCACTTCCTGACAACAATGGTATTGTCTGCAGGGACTGGAGCCGGAGTGTGCTTGAAACGTCAGCTTTGGGTCGGGACTTCTCTTGAGCTACTGTTACACCATGTACAGCCTCTGACCTTGGGCACGTTGCTACTTATTCTCTGTGACTTAATCCAGCTGTCTGTAAAACGAGGAAAACGTGGAATTTGGAGTGTTGTTCTGAGGATTCATTGAGCTCATACCCGAGAACGCTTACATATGAGGTTCAACAAATGTGGTGGAGTGACAGATGGACGACATAGCTCAGAGGAGCGAGGGCAGCAATTCTAGAAAGCTGTATAAGGGGCAGACCGGGCTCCCTTTGCCCTGCGAGGAGCCCCGGGGAGCGGGTGCAAAGCCATACCCTGCCAATCTTGGCCCACGTTTTCGCCCGCAAGGGCGTGGCCGCGTCTTACCTCACGATCCGTCGGGTCCCAGGCTGCAGCTTCAGCTCAGTCCGCCACGGGGCGCCCGCTTGCGGGGCCTCTGTGGGCTCAGCTGTGTGTGATGCGGCGGCCCGGGCGCCCACGTCCGGTCTCCCAGGCAACCACATAAACTTCCGGTTTGAGAGAGGCCGCGGTTGGCGAGAGGCCACATTTCCGCCACGTGACCCCCGCCGGCACCTTGCCGGCTGAAGGGCTCGCGTCACCGGCCTGCAACACCCGGCGTTTTCCCGAAGTTCGACTTCCCCGCCCTGACCAGGGGGCAGTTCCTGGGGAAGTGGCTCCAGCCGGGACGGCCGGGCCTGCAGAGGCGGAGCCGGGGCTTGGCTCCCGCTTGCCCGAGGCTCCGCTGAGAAGCCGGGCGGCAGCAAGACCGCTTCTCCTGAGCCGCCGAACTGGAGTTGGAGCTGGAACTCCGTGGGGCCGGGGTCCCGGCTGCCGGGCAGCGGCTCCTCGGGGCCGAGGCCGCGGCGGAGAATGAGGCGGTGGTGGTGGCGGGCTCCCGGCGGAGCCGCCGGGCTGGAAGCATGCTGCGCTGGTTCATAACCGTGATCCTGTGTGCTGCCTTCCTGGGGCTGGTGAGAGCCGGGGCTGGAATCCTCCCAGGCGGGGGCGTAAGCGGGCGTTCTGTAGAGAACGCCGGCTTCTGAGCTCGAGTCTCGCCTCTGCCACTTGCAAACTGTGTGACCTTGGGCGCGTTCGTCTGCCCCAGCCTTGGTTTCTTAATCTGAAAAATGGGCACAGTTCTACTGTTGGTTATTGTCAAGTGGGAAATTGATTTTCCTAATATATTTGCCAGTTCCAGCAAACCTTCCTACTTCTACGTGGCGTGGGGGAGATAGATGCAAGGGGGTGTTGCCAGGTCTATAGCCCCTCCCCCTTGAGCCCACGCAGACCCCAAATTATTACACAGAGCTGCTTTTCTGGGATTTCCTCTTCCTTGTCTGACCAGATTCAGCCAACTCCTCATTTTTGCAGACGGGGCAAAATAGACCCATAGAGGGAAAATGACTTTTCTGGACCACACAGCTGGTTTTAAGTGGTGGAGGCAGGAATAATAGGTCTCTTATTCTACCCACAATCCTATGTAAAACAAACCTTTAGATCCTTCAGTTTTTGTTTTTAAGAGCGAACTGCAAGGCTAGAAGCGCCTTTTGACAAACCCCTTGGGTGCCCCACGATTCCCTTATTTCTGGAGATGGTCCTCTCATCACTTGTCCTGAATATTGGGCTCTTGGGGATTTGGTAGGGTGAGTCCTCTGAGGAGAGTCACTTCTCAGAGTGTCCTCTAAGGAAGTCACTTAGCGTCTTTCGCTTGAGCCACAAGGGGTTCCTGGAGTATTTTAATTTGAAAAAAGAAAAATCATTGCAGACGCTTCTTGAGCCCTCACCTTGTGCCAGGTCCTGTTTTAAGTGCTTTACAAGGAGGAAGTAATTTGATTGGAGATGGAGCTCAGCCTTCCCTCCATGTACCAAGTGCTTGCTCTGCTCTGGCTTGGGCAAGACGCACACCCGTGTTTTGAGCAGAGCAGTCCAATTAGAATGAATTATTCTTGAAGCATAGACAGAAGCATTTTTTTTAAAGTATCCAACAAATATTCTCTGATGGCTTGGAGTTTTCTTTGAAGAAGAATACAGATTTAGAAACGTTTGATTTGTCTATTTTCTGTGTATTTTGTATGCGTCAGAGGAAGGACACCATGTGCATCCAGAAATATTGCTGTTTTAACACCATAAAAAAACAGGAATGCTGTTTTAATGGTTTGATAATTTAAATTTTTAACATCTAAATTACTGTGTTATTTGTGCATATAGTATATTTCAAAGTGCACAAAACTATTTCAAAAATGATTTTGATGTTACATTTTACTGTTAATACAAGAGTCTCTTGTGGTATTGTTCAAAAAGGAAACAAAATTGTAGCAGCCAGAAAAATTAAAGAATTTTCTTTTAGACTTGAGAGTTGTCAAAACTAGAAAACCAGTAGTATTTGACACACCAGATGCAGTAGCCTATAGTCTAGGAGTCCTAGTACTGTCATCCTGAATTTTTCCGACTGTGAGATTTGAAGTAATCCCCTACATTACACTGAAAACCCCTCCTCCTTTTTTATTTTTATTTTTTAATTAAATGTTTAGATGTGGGGGAGGGGCAGAGAGAGGGAGAGAAAGAATCTAAGTAGGTTCCAAGCCCAGCATGGAGCTTGATCTCACAACCCTGCGGTCATGACGGAGCTGAAATCAAGAGTGTGAAATCCACAGTCGGCTGCTCAACCAACTCAGCCACCCAGGCGCCCCTCCTCCTCCCTTTTTAATAGTGAAAAAAACTACCACACAGATAGACATTATTTTAATGATTGTAAATGAAAGGTTTTGTCTTTTTAAATTTTAGGGAATGAGTGTTGCTATACTGGGACCAACATTTCAAGATTTGGCAACAAATGTGAACCGCAATATTAGCAGTCTTTCTCTGATTTTTGTGGGCCGTGCCTTTGGATTTTTAACTGGCTCAGTGATTGGTGGAGTTCTTCTTGACATTATGAATCATTTTCTACTTTTGGGTAAGTACAGACCAATTTTAGCTTTTTATGACTTTCAAGGAATTTACGCTTTGTTTTTAAAAATGAAACATTTTATGGTTGACAACTCAGATGAGTAGTGTTCAGGCGTCCTCGGTGAAAATCAGGTTTCCTTGATGCCTGTTTTCATCTCAACAATTATAGGGAATCCATGCAGGGCCGCTCTGGAAATTTAGATTAGCCCTAGAATGTGTTACTATCTTTAGCCTTCCTGACCATCAGTGTAATTTAGGCACCACCCCTGGATCACATACTAGTTGTCCAAAGAACTCTGCTTGTCAGGGTTTAGGGCAGATCTCCTGGGGCCACCAGAGATCAGAATGAATTCCTTGAACCTGCCCAGGCTAGGCCCTGAACTGAGAATGAAGGTGGGAAGTACTGGGGGCAAAAGGACGTAGGCTAAATTTTTGTCCCAGCCGTCCCATGTTAATGATGCCTCCAGACCTCTCTACCTCGCCCTTCAAGTAGATGGCAAAGCTTTTAACTTACTCTCTTTTGAATAAATAGACACGTTTAAAGAAAATCTGGATTAATGTGATAAAAGTGCTTTGGAAGTAAGGACAATAATTTACTGTTGTTGATGAATAAATGAATAATTACTCAGATTTCCAAAGTGGGTTGAGAACATATAGATCTCTTGTATTTCCCTCCTTATTCCCAAGCTAAATTACTTAATACATTTCTACTACAAACTAACATAAATGCATTTTATTTTTCTTTTTAATTTTTTACCTCATACCTAAAAGTCTTTTTATTTTATTTATTTGATGTATGTACGTGTGTATGTATTTATTTATTTAGATTAAAAGTCTCTTTTTAAAATATGAGATATTTAAATAAATTTTTGAGTTGTCAGTTTTGCTATAAAACTTTGCCCTGTAGTATATGGTTTGATTATCAGCAATGCTAGAAATGTACTCACATTAGATTAACTTATATTTTATAGTCCATAAATATTATGAAAGCTTGTAAAGGAAATAACCATTTATGGATGCTGAACCTCTTATCCACTTACTGTTACCCAATTGTAACTTGACCTACTTTGCATTTATGGGAATTTCTATGATGTTGACTTGATTTATGACTCCTTGCATGAATATTGTTTTTTATAGCTGACTTTTACCTTTCTTCTCAGGGGTGTCAATGTTGACCACCACAGTTGGTCTTTATCTTGTTCCATTTTGTAAGACAGCAGTATTACTGATTGTCATGATGTCCGTCTTTGGTGTTTCAGCTGGCATTCTGGATACAGGTCAGTGAGCCCTGCAGGGTCATCTCTGGGAGTAGGGACTTTCTACTAGGAAAAAGTAGAGCAGATGACATCAAATGGTCATTTGCAGTGTAAAATGACACCGACCTACTGAATTGCTCTTGGCGTCACCCAGTCAGAACTACCCTCTGGCAGCTACTCTTCTTGCCAAGTAGGGTGCCTGTTTTTGGCAATTCATGGAGTGAATTTAAGGAATTTTGTTCAGTGAGAGATTATTGATTTGCAGTACCCAAACAGGAAAGGGTCCCCCATGTGGGTAATTATGGTGCAGGTGAGTGGGCTTTCATTTTGGGATAGAACTTTATCGGTGTAGTATGGGAGGAATTCATGGGTTAATAGGTTAAACCAACTTTGGAACCATATTTGACTGAGGAATCATAGAAGCAGCTATACAATTTAAAAAGCCCTCTGTCTTTTGAACTAAGAGAAACCTGTGCTGTGTATGACTTTCCTTCTCTTTTTTTCCCCTCTCAAAAGCTCCTGTCTTCCTGCAGGAGATCCTCTTCATGTGTCTTGTTATCTTTTAAAACCTACTAAACAACATACTTGGCATTTGTCCACCCCTAAAACCAGCTCTCTTCTTCCCCTGCTCTATTGTTACCTGATATATCGGGGATATTTTATACTTTAGGCTTAGTTTGGTCGTGAAATTATGGGGCACAATTGTATGTTTATCTGCAAATATGTTAAAAAAAGAGAAAGCTAACACAACACTTGATGCTTCTTGCCTTTCACCTTTGTTTCCTGTAATGGGCCCAGCAGAATTCTACAGTGTTCAGGTTTCTGAACATGTGTTTTGCATCTGCTATATACCTAAATAATTTTCCTCAACTGGTTATTTGGTAATTTGGCCATTATCTCATGGTAATATATATTTAAAATGTTTACAAATAAATATCCACCTCTTTCCCACCCTCCCCACCCCCTGCCAGCCTCGTATTAGAACTGTCTTGTAAAAAGCCTTGGGCTAAGGTGCCTGGCTCTAGGAGGTCGTGGTTTACTAGCTTGTAGAATCCATTTGTGAGTATGTGATGTTCCGATGCTTAGAGTTCTGTGGTGGTGGTAGGTTAGAGTTCCTTAATCATAAAATCGACCGAGTTGCAACATTTGATGACTGAGAATACCTTCATCCTTGTGCCGTGTAAAATAGACTCATCCTCCTCCTGATAGTAGTGAACCGTTTTTTGCTAAGTTACCATGATTAAATAATTTTCCTCATCTTTCATTGGTAGGTGGTAACGTCCTAATCTTGGCTATCTGGGGGGACAGAGGAGCCCCACATATGCAGGCCTTACACTTCAGTTTTGCCTTGGGTGCCTTTTTGGCTCCACTGCTGGCTAAGTTGGCATTGGGCACGACGGTGTCTGCTGCAAACCACGCAGAGCCTAACTCTAACCATTCTGCCCTCAACCAGTCATCTGAAGCTGACTCAGAATCTCTACTCGGAGTACCTGACAATATGAATTTACTGTGGGCGTATGCTGTTATTGGTACTTACGTTTTTGTAGTTGCTACCTTTTTTTTGGCTCTGTTTTTAAAGAAGAGCTCAAGGCAGGAAAAAGCAAAAGCATCTGCTCAGAGGTCTCGAAGAGCTAAATACCACAATGCCCTTCTTTGTCTCCTTTTTTTGTTCTTCTTTTTTTATGTTGGAGCCGAGGTAACATATGGCTCTTACGTTTTCACGTTTGCGACCAGCCACGCAGGCATGACGGAAAGTGAAGCGGCTGGGTTGAACTCCATCTTCTGGGGGACCTTTGCAGCCTGCAGGGGCCTAGCAATCTTTTTTGCTACATGTTTACAACCTGGAACCATGATTGTGTTAAGCAACATTGGCAGCCTGACATCATCCTTATTGTTGGTGCTTTTCGACAAGAGCCCAGTTTGTCTCTGGATAGCGACTTCGGTGTATGGGGCCTCGATGGCAACCACGTTTCCCAGTGGTGTTTCTTGGATTGAGCAGTACACAACCATCCATGGGAAATCTGCAGCATTTTTTGTAGTCGGTGCTGCCCTGGGAGAAATGGCTATTCCTGCAATAATTGGAATTCTTCAAGGACAATACCCTGATTTGCCTGTAGTTTTGTACACCTGTTTGGGGGCATCGATAGCCACTGCTATTTTATTTCCCGTGCTCTATAAATTAGCCACCTCACCTCTCAGTCAGCAGCGAAAAGAACACACAAAAAGCGAGGACCAGAAAGCTTTGCTGTCTAGTTCTGAGCTAAATGACTATGAGGAAGACAATGAAGAAGAGGATGCAGAAAAATGGAATGAAATGGATTTTGAAGTGATTGAAATGAATGATACAATGAGGAATTCTGTAATAGAGACATCTAAAAATATTTTGATGGAGCCCTTGGCTGAAATCTCCAGTCAATTCCACTCCAGTGCAGTGGTATTGGAGTCCCCTCAAGTTAATAGTGGCCAGTTCCCTGTGAATCACCTTGCAAGAAACCAGGCTAAAAGGGACTAACACCTAGAGAAGATGGATTATTCTGACCTCCTTGAATAATCTCCAGTTGTAAAGAAGCCAGTCAGAGCAGAACATTAACAGATCTTCAACATGCTTTGGGGATCAAAATTTCTAGGTCAGAGTATAGCAAATGCTACAAAGTTTTGAAAGGTTCTGTAATTCCAGAGTTTTCCATAAAGAACAAATGGTCTCGTCCGGCAGGATCTTACTGTGAGGCTGGTGTTTGGCATGTGGCTGATTAGGTAATGTTTTATGGTCTCCACCCCTCAGAGCATGCAAAGAAGGTGTTTGTTGTTGAGAAGTTGGGTGCTGTTCTAATAGAATGAAACCATCTAATAGTTGAATTGATTAGCTGAACAAATGATCAATCTTCAGTATTCTACCAGGGAAGTAGAGGAGTGTCCTTTCATAAAAGAGCAACTTTGAAAATGGACAGAGATTTTTATTAATTGCTTTGCCCTCCCTGTAGTGTTGCGCTGGAGAATTCTGATTCCTCATTTGATTTCTGATTTCTATCAGGAGAACACAGAACAGGGCCCTAGAGACCCGGCTTCAGGACTGCTGCTCACTAGTTTTTTCTGGCCCTGCACTCAGTCCCTAAAGAGGCCTTGTTTATCTGTCTCCTGATCTGTGATTCTATTAGTGAAAATGAGAGGATTTTCAAACTAGGAATCCACAAGTTTCAAAGTTTGTGCAAGGAAAAAAAAAGTGAAAAAAAAGTCTGTGCAGTGTGTCTGTTAGAAATAACGTAAGTCCCATCCATTCTTCATTTCAAATGAGAAGTGAAACAAAAGTGATAGTTTTGAGAATACTGATTGTGAATACATGTCAATTTAAGAGACTCAGTGTTTAATAATTACCTGCAAAACACATTTTTCAGTAGTGTTTCATCAGTTCTAAGATGCACCTTTTTTCACATTTTTAACATCTCTGAAATCAGAATATGTCTTAAAGTCAGTGGTCACTTAACATTTTGTGACAAAATTTAATTGACAGTTATCCATGTACATATACAAAATAATGTTGCATGTTATAATCGGTGTCTTACAGTAATTCATTCAATTATGGAGATTTTACTATTTTTACAGATATTTAAAAAAAAAAGTTATTTTTATATGCTGATTTTCTTGATGTTCAAGTGGGATTTGGAGATGCAATGTTCCAACTTTAAAAGCTGCTTGAGAATTACTATGTTAGTAGTGGGGCCTACCTTAGTAATGAAGTCTGGGTCTGGGCCTTGCTCGTACAGGGTTTGTTCTTTATTGAGTTTGGCTGGTAATTACATTGTAAGCACTGTAAACTACGCTGCTAGTTTAATTTACAAAGAGGCACAGTCTTTTGCAGTATTTGGAATATTTGTTTCACCCACCCAGGGCTCTTCCTTCCTGAGTTTGAAATACCTGGGAAACCAAAATAATGATTAGAAAGGGGCTTGGTGGCCTAGGGGTCAGGGATCACAAAGGGTACTTCATATGAGTGTGGCAAAGCTGGTGTGAGCTCTCCTTTGATAAATGACTAGCACTGATGACTGCTTTTGTTTACTTCTCTTTACCATGTTTTATGGTGAATAACATTTAATTTCTACCTGCTTGCAGTATGTTTGCTTTCTCATTTATCTAATTTCTACAAATTTGCCTTTGTTTTTTCTCGAGTGAAATGTATCTTTTTTGACCACTGCTCATTCACCTTCAATACCTGCCATAATATGGGTTTGTATATATAACCTAGCAGTTTTGGAGAGGGCCGGTGGAGAAATGAACAGTAAAAAGTGTATTCTTCTTGCTCTTTTTGTATTGTACTTTTCTCTTAGCTACAACTTGGAGACCACCTGTGTTCCATTTACTGCTTTTTCTCAGGTTGTTGGAATTTAGGCAGTAGATGCTATTTGGCAGCTGGGACGCTTGCTAGAACAGGGATACTATCTGCAGCATCTACATTTAACGGGTAGAAGATGCAGCTCAGGGAGAAAAGGATGATAATAAGAACATGGCAGAAAATTTGGAAATCCACACTGGAAAATCCACAAGAGTTCCACAAACCAAAATGTGAGTGGCCATATGAGATTGTAGGCATTTTTTTTTTTTTTTTAAAGATTTATTTATTTATTTATCTGAGAGAGCGAGAATGAGAGAGAGTGCATGAGAGGGGGGAGGGTCAGAGGGAGAAGCAGATTCCCTGTTGAGCAGGGAGACCGATGTGGGACTCGATCCCGGGACTCCAGGATCATGACCTGAGCCGAAGGCAGTCGCTTAACCAACTGAGCCACCCAGGCGCCCATGATTGTAGGCATTGTTAAAGTTTGATGTATTTCCATATTGGAAGGATAAGACTTCGTATAATTCCAAGAATTAGCATTCATTCTAATAATCAGTCCCTAGGTAAGTGTCTGCTGATATACAAGTAGCCAATACTGAAGTTTTCTATTGCTGAATAACAGATTTAGCAGTTTACAACATTTTTGTTTATTTTAAGTAGGCTCCACGCCTAGTATGGAGCCCAACGTGGGGCTTGAACTCACAACTGTGAGATTGAGACCTGAGCTGAGATCAAAAGTTGGTTGCCTAACTGACCAAACCATCTAGGCGCCCTAACAACAGACATTTTTTGTCTCACAGTTTGAGTCAGAAATGTGGGCATGACTTCACTGGGTCCTCTGTTGAGGGTCTCGTGGGGCTGCTGCAGTCAAGCTGTTGGATAGAGCTCTGCTCCATTTTGAAGCTTAGGGTTCACTTCCAGGGCCATGTATGTGGTTGACAGTATTCAGTTCCTTGCTGTGGTATGCTCAGGTCCCTGTTTTTTGCTGGCTGTGGGCTGCCATCAGCCCCAGTTCCTAGAACCTCCCACGTTTTTTTGCCAGGCAGCCCTCTGTAGATCTCTCACAACATGGCAGCCCATTTCTTCAAAGCCAGCAGGAGAATCTCTCACCCCAGTCTGCCAAGCTGGAGTCTTCTTTAACATAATCACAGGAGTGGCATCCCTCACCTTTGCAGTATGCTCTTGGCTAGAAGCAAGTCACGGGTTCTACCCAAACTCCAGGGGGAGAGGCTAGTGCAGAGATGCAACTCATTGGGTGTTACCTTAGTGTGTGTATGCTGTACACACAAGAGAACTAAAAAGTTGGAGCTGGGGACAAGAAGCCCTCAGCAGTCATCGAAAGTGATTATGGGTACCAAACTGAGTGAGTGGGCATGGAAGGCTCCATTAGGCCAGGCCAATGAACCTGATAGAAGAGATTCTGTTTGTGGGGCAATGGATGGGCTAACTCAGAGTTAGGCTTTTTTTCCCCTTGACATTTTATGTTCTTTCCCATTGTGATTTTAACTTGTTCAAATGCAGCTTCCTATAAGAGAAATAGGTAAATTTCAGTTTAGTTATATTTTCATAGTAATAATTTTCAAAGTAAAGATGCTTTGAGGGCATCTTTCAGTTACTCTTATTTTTTAAAGAAAAATCCTTTTAAAAAACCTGTTTATCATAAAAGTAATGAAGGTATTAAAAAGTCAGCTGGAAGATTGGGGAAGTGCATAAAAATGTAAGGGACAAGTATAAGTAATTTATGCAAAGTTTTTATTTATTTTTATTTTTTTTTAAAGTAAGCTCCTTGCCCAGTGTGGGGCTTGAATTCCCGACCCCTGAGATCAAATCATATGCTCTACCAACTCAGCCTTCCAGGCACCCTTGTATAAGTTATTTATTTATTTATTTATTTATTTATTTATTTATAAAAGATTTTATTTATTCATTTGAGGCACAGAGATAGAGAGCATGAGCAGGGGGAGAGGCAGAGGGAGAGGGAGAAGCAGGCTCCCTGCTGAGCCAGGAGCCCGATGTGGGGCTTGATCCCAGGACCCCGGGATCATGACCTGAGCCGAAGGCAGACGATTAACCATCTGAGCCACCCAGGCGCCCCTGTATAAGTAATTTATAATTCTAAACACTTAGAAAAGTTCTTAAGATTTCTCCTCAACATAATTTCTTGGGTAAAAGGGTAAAAAAAAAAATTCCCTCCTACCAGATAAAGTTTCAGAAACAACTTGAATTTTGTGTCCAGAGTGCGTTGCCACTGCAGTTGTTGGACTGGTTATTAGTTTGAAGAATTGTAACTTATTAAACAAAACAAAACAAACCTAATTGATCAGTGGAGTAACATAACACCCTCCTAAAAACTGTGTGAGACGCGGATTACATGTAAAATGATTGCGTTTCAGGTAGAATCACTGAATAATCAGGATAGCTTTCTCATAACCAGAACTTTTGGTTTCCCATAGCAGTATATCACTCCTGCCACTTAAAAGTTATTACTAAAATAGAGCTTAAGTTTCTTAGTGGAAGTAGATAACATTCTTCTGGGATACCCTGTATCTGTATCTGTTAAGTGCCACTTGTTTTGTTCACAGTGCTCTGAATGTGTGTGTGTTTGTGTACGTGAACTCACAGATACTATGTGTGTTTGACATTTTCCTATACTGTAGGGGTGCAGTGGGGGTAGAGGTGGTAGAGAAGGGATACAAAAAAGCTTAAGGTATGATTCCACGTTTGTTAGAAATGGCCCTTTTTTTAATTGAAAATTTTATTGCAATTATTATAGATTTACATGCAGTTGTGCCTAGTGTTTTTGTTTTTGTTTTTTCTAAATTTGTTGAGCGAGGGATACTTGCTCAATCTGGAGAGTAGAGAACTAGGCTAGTGCTTCTCATACGTTAATGTGCATTTGAATTGCTTGTTAAAATATAGATTCTAATTCAGTAGTACCTGGGATAGGGGCTGGGATTCTACATTTCTTTTCTTTTTTTTTTTTTAAAGATTTATTTTTATTTATTTGACAGAGAGAGCGCGAGAGAGGGAACACAAGCCGGGGGAGGGGGGAGGGAGAAGCAGACTCCCTGCTGAGCAGGGAGCCCGATGCGGGACTCGATCCCAGGACCCTGGGATCATGACCTGAGCTGAAGGCAGCCGCTTAACCAACTGAGCCACCCAGGCGCCCCTGGGATTCTACATTTCTAACAAGCTTTTACATGATGGGGAGCTATTGGCCTGTGGACTGACCACATTTTGGGTAGCAAGATTCACTTTTTGAGAGGGTCAAATTCTTTGCTACTCTAGGGAATTCAGTTTGTTTTGTTTCAGCTTTTCTAAATCTGACCCTAAATCTGTAGGAGTCTGTATTCCCATGCGCCCCCTCCTCTCTCTTAACACACAAACCCCAGACTCAGGAGTTCCCTTCAGTCCTCTCCATTTACTGCATTGGCTGTTGAATATTTATTTCTTATGTCTGTTGAATGCCTCCTATTTGGCTGTCTCTGTGAGAGGTGTTATATTATACTGGTGAAAGATCAGAAGGTTCCTACCTCTGTGGAACCTACCCTCTAAAGCAGTACCGTCCAGTAGAATTTCCCACAATGATGGGAACATTTTATATCTGCACTGCCCAGTAGCCACTGGTCACATGTGGTGAATTGAGCCCTTGAAATATGGCTAATACAAATAAAAGGAATTTTTAATTTAAATATCTGCATTAGCTGGTCACTGCCATATTGGATAACACAGGTCTAGTGGGAGAAACCAGGTATCAAACAATCACACAAGATGTTTCTAGGAAGGCTTTATCTTCTGTTATACTAGAAGTTTACAAGTATCTGGGGTCAGAAAAGTTGTGCTAGATACCTTCTCAAATGGCATAATATAAATTATCATGGCACTTAAGGAAAGGCCTAGTTTTACTGGGTCCTGATGGTAGAAAGTTGTGCTTAGTGATCTGGAAGAGCAGGTTTGTCTTTCCTTGTGTGTCAAGGAAGCAAACCGAGGCTGGTCACCTTGTTTGTCAGGAGGACTTAAGCTCTTTCGCTTTATGCACTTTGGCCAGTTGGCATTTGAGCTAGGTTGCACTTGGATTTTTATTTAGCTATAAATAGTTTCATATTTAATGAGTTAAAATTTTATAACATTGAATTTTTGCAAAGAGAATTTTCCAACATTTTTTGGTGGTTGTCTTAATTATGTGTTCTCATGTCCTGTACTTCTGCCTTGTTCATTTCTCTTAATTCTTGCAGAAAAGATCCCTTAGGTTCTTGCACCGTGGCCATTAATTCTTATGTATTGTCTTCCTTTTGGCTTATATTTTTAATTGCAGAATGCCTTTCCTATCTGATCTCTGGCTTTATGGCAACTTGCCTTCGATGTGTTTGGTTATGTTAGTTAATGGATGGCCTGGAGAAGTGTAAAAGTTGTTAGATGACATGAGTGACTTAAGGCTGTGGGCTTTTTAGGTTCTGAACAACTTGTGAGGTTATAAGGTGCTTTTTAAAAGAATTATTTTTAGGGATGCCTGGGTGGCTCAGTCGGTTCAGCGTCTGCCTTTGGCTCAGGTCATGATCTCGGGGTCCTGGGATCGAGCCCCACATCGGGCTCCCTGCTCAGTGGGGAGCCTGCTTCTCTCTCTGCTTCTGCCCCTGCTTGTGTGCTCCCTCTCTCTCTCTCTGACAAATAAAATCTACAAAACAAAAAGAATTATTTTTAATTGTGATGAAATAGGCATTACATAATATTTACCATCTCAACCTTTTTTTTAAGATTTTATTTATTTGACAGAGAGCGAGAGAGGGAACACAAGCAGGGGGAGTGGGAGACGGAGAAGCAGGCTTCCCGCCGAGCAGGGAGCCCGATGCGGGGCTCGATCCCAGGACCCTGGGACCATGACCTGAGCCGAAGGCAGACGCCTAACGACTGAGCCACCCAGGCGCCCCTCAACCATTTTTAAGTGTATAAATTCAGTGTCACTAAGCACATTCACATTATTGTGCAACCCTCACAGCCGTCATCCACAAAACTGACTCCATAACCCATTAAACTCTGTAACTCCCCATTCCATCCTCCTACCAGTCCTGACAGTGATCAGTCTACTTTCTGTCTCTACAAATTTCACTACTCCAAGTACTTCATATAAATGGCATTATACAGTATTTGTCCTTTTATGCCCAGTGTATTTCACTTAGCATGTTGTAGCATGTGTCAGAATTTCCTTTGTAAGGCTGTTTAATAGTCTTTTGAATGTATACTTTGTTGATCCATTTACCTGTTCTGGACACTTGGGTTGCTTCCACCTTTTGGCAATTGTGAGTAACGCTTCTATGAAAATTTATGTACACGTATCTGTTTCAATTTCTGCTTTCAGTTCTTTTGGGTATCCCCACAAGTGTGATTGCTGGCTCATATGTTCTGTTTTTAATTTTTTTGGGTGCTTTCATTATTGGACTTAGATAATATTTTGTCCTAATCAGTTTTCCCAGAAGAAACCAGCTATAAGAAGATAGAGAAACCCATGCTTTTGTTAGTATTGCTTCAAACCCTAGGCAGACTTTCAGCCCATTATAATCAACTTAGTATCACCCACATACTGAATAGATGAAAGGTTGTATCAGACATCTACCTCAAAGTTTTGTTCTCTTTGCTTCCAGTTTTTTATTTAGTCATTGAGCAAGTGTCGGAGAGCTTACTTGGTTTGAAATCCTACTTGAAATGAAACTGAACCTGCACCAGTTGGAGGTTGCCTTTCTAGACAGGTTTTCACCAATCAGTTTTGATTTGGGGCCCTTAACGAGGTAGAGGTAGCCTCATAGATTGATTACATCTGTATTTAAGACTGCTCGCAACTTACATGCCTCTGTACAATGTAAAAGCTTGTTTGAATAAAATATTGATATAAATAAATACTCGTGTTGGTTTAAGATAAAATTGGTGTTTCATTTCATGGATGCTTAAAAATGAATTTGGCATGGGTACCTGGGTGGCTCAGTCGTTAAGCGTCTGCCTTCGGCTCAGGTCATGCTCCCAGGGTCCTGGGATTGAGCCCCGCATCAGGCTCCTTGCTCAGCAGGAGTCCTGCTTCTCCCTCGCCCACTCCCCCTGCTTGTGTTCCTTCTCTCACTGTGTCTCTCTCTGTCAAATAAATAAAATCTTGGGGCGCCTGGGTGGCTCAGTCATTAAGTGTCTGCCTTTGGCTCAGGTCATGATCCCAGGGTCCTGGGATCGAGCCCCACATCGGGCTCCCTGCTCAGCAGGAGGCCTGCTTCTCCCTCTCCCACTCCCCCTGCTTGTGTTCCCTCTCTCGCTGTCTCTCTCTCTGTCAAATAAATAAAACCTTTAAAAATAAATAAAATCTTTAAAAAATATATATAGTTTACTTGAATAACAGTTCCCTAATTAAAGATGATTGCAGTTATGTCTTTGTTTCAGAATGGAAAGGAAGTTTTCAAAATTGCATGTCAAGGAGAAACTGGGGTGTTTCTCCTTGCTTCCCTTCTATAAAGAACCTGCAGCTGAAACCCTGCTGTTAGTGACCACAGCCCTTTTTGTCTTGTTTAAAACAACTGTAGTGATAATATGGTTAAATGCTTCTAGGTTGGAGCATGATTCAGGTGTACAGCAACCTTTCCACCCCCCTCACACTTTACTGGAGTCTTAGGGAAAGATATATATATATATAAATGTTTTATTTATTTATTCTTGAGAGTCAGAGAGAGAGAGAGGCAGAGGGAGAAGCAGGCCCGCCAAGCAGGGAGCCTGATGCGGCACTCGATCCCAGGACCCTGGGATTATGACCTGAGCCGAAGGCAGACGCTTAACCATCTGAGCCACTCAGGCGCCCAAGGGAAAGATATTTTTATTTATTTATTTAATTTATTTATTTTTAAAAGATTTTATTTATTTGAGAGAGAGAGAATGAGAGACAGCATGAGAGGGAGGAGGGTCAGAGGGAGAAGCAGACTCCCTGCCGAGCAGGGAGCCCGATGCGGGACTCGATCCCGGGACTCCAGGATCATGACCTGAGCCGAAGGCAGTCGCCTAACCAACTGAGCCACCCAGGCGCCCCGGGAAAGATATTTTTAAAGTGGGAACCTTTGAGCTGAGAGAAACTAAACGGCATACTCTCTCCTGTCTTATCCGAGCAGTTAGTAATGATACTGTGGGTGTCCTTATTTGAATGCTGCCATCTCTGCTTTCAGCGATCTAAGTTTATAGCTGTGCACCTTGCCCTGGGCAAGGATCTTTACCTTCGCATCATGCCAGGGACAAAGCTTGGCTTTTTCTGGCTCCTCCTAAATACAGAGCTCTGGAAGCCTTGGCATTGAGCCAGATGTGATGGGATTTCAAGTATAGCTGACTGTGATATCCAGGGGTCCCCAGTGCTTTCCCTGAGGAAGTAGGGGCTTGGGGTACTTCTGCTTCAACTTCCATGGATTTGGTTGGGCATGAGAGCGGGCTGAATGACCATGACATCTGCTCCTAAGTGTTCCCTGCACGGGAAGGCTGGGGTAAGGCACTGTGGTTTTTTTTTTTTTTTTTAAAGATTTTATTTATTTATTTGAGAGAGAGAATGAGAGCACAAGAGCGAAGAGGGTCAGAGGGAGAAACAGACCCCCTGCTGAGCAGGGAGCCCGATGCGGGACTCGATCCCGGGACTCCAGGATCATGACCTGAGCCGAAGGCAGTCGCTTAACCAACTGAGCCACCCAGGTGCCCAAGGCACTGTGGTTTAAAGGATACAGACAGGAGCATTGGCTGGGGCTCCTGCTACCACCCACTGGAAAAGATAATGGTTTGGGAAGTGGAATTTTTCTATTTGCTCACTCTAGCAACCATTTCAGTTTCTCTCTTTTGGGAAACTTGAATGGACCCTATAGAACACATTATAAAAGCTCATGTGTGGTGTGGTGGTGAAGTGTGGGATCTGGAGTCTATCAGCCTGAATTTGAATTTGGACCCAGCCAACTCTTTCCTTGGTCACACTACTTAATCTCTTGGCCTCTATTTTCTTTCATGGGGTAGGCAGGGAGACTTAAAGCATGTAGCATATTGCATCATACGTACACTGAGAGGCTGAATTGTGTTGCTCCCCCCTTCCCCATCCCTGTGTTGAAGTCCTAACCTCTAATAGCCCACACTGAATATTTGGAGATAGGGTCTTTAAAGAGGCAGCTAAGCTAAAATGAGGTCATTAAGGTGGGTCCTAATCCAACATGATTGGTATCCTTATAAGAGGAGGAAATGTGGACACAGACTGGCACAGAGGGAAGACCCTGTGAAGACACAGGAGAGGGCGGCCATCTACAAGCAAAGGGGAGAGGTTGCAGAGGAAACCGCTCTCCAATGCCTTGCTCTCAGACTTCTAGCTTCCAGAATCCTGGGGAAGGTTCTGTTGTTTAAGCCACCCAGTCTGTGGTACTTTGTTTTGGCAGCCCTAGCAAACTAATACACATAGTAAGTATAGAATGAAGGTTAGTTACTATTACTATTTTTATTACTGTTTCCAAAGCACTCAGACAAAGGACCAAAATAAAACGGGCACAAATGGGAAATTTTATTCATAGAGTAATATTCACTAGTTTAGTAAAAGAGACCATTAACAAAAGGGAAATAATAAGAGTTTTTAAGAACTGTGGTTGGGAAGGCCAGGCGGGACACCCTGACTAAGCTAATAAGGTTATGGGTCACAAGAACATTTAGTTGTCCCAACATATCAGTAAGAAGACCTGTGGCTGAGGGGCGCCTGCCTGGCTCAGTTGGTTAAGCGGCTGACTCTTGATTTTGGCTTCGGTCATGATCTCGGGGTCATGGGATCTCTGCCCTGCATCAGGCTTCTCACTCTGCAGGGATTCTCCTTGAGATCCTCTCCCTCTGCGCTCTGTCCCTTCCCGCACTTGCACACGTGCGCGCACGCGCACACACATACTCTCTCTAAAATAAACCTTAAAAAAACCCCAAAAAACCCAGGAAGAAGAAGAAGATGATGCGTGGCTGCAAATTCACGCAGCTGGCCTGGGGAGCTCTCTGCTCAGGTACCATGCAAAGGATGGACTTCTTGGACCCGACCAAATAGCTAAGCTAAATGGAGCCCACTAGCAATAAAGGAGTGAGAAACAGCAAGAGCACATAATTGTTTTTAATGGATATTATATGTGCGCAGTAATACAATCAAATAGTACAAAGGTAAATTAAAAAGTAGATCTTATTCACCCTTAACTCCAACCCCCATTAAAGCAACCATTCTTATTGTCATTTCTGTACATCTTCTAGAGATAACTGGATATACAAAGAAGTGTTTGTATGTATATGTACATAGATAAAATGAATATAAATATATTCTTTGTTTTTATTGAGAAATAATACATAACACTATTAGTTTTCGGTGTACAACATAATGATATATATATGCATTGTAAAATGATCACCACTATTGGTTTAGGTAATAGCCATCATCACACATAGTTAGAAATTTTTTTCATGTAATGAGAACTCTTAAGATTTATGCTTTTTTTTTTTTTTTTAAGATTTACTGTTTTAGCAACTTTCAAATATACAATCAGTATAGTTAACTATGGTTAACAATAATATACTTTACATCCCCATGACATTTTAACTAGAAGTGTGTATGTTTTGACCCCCTTCACTCATTTTGCACACCCTCTACCCTCACCTCTGATAACCATCAATCTGTTCTCTGTATGAGTTCAGATTTGTTTTTAAATTTTTTTTTAATTAAATTTTTTTAGATTCTACATATAAATGATTTATTATACGGTATATGTCTTTTCCTGTCTGACTTATTTCACTTACCATAATGCCCTCAAGTTCCATTGATGTATCACATAGCAGGATTTCCTTATTTTTATGGCTAATATTCGTGTGTGTGTGTGTGTATCACATTTTCTTTATCCATTTATTGTCAGTGGACATTTTCCATGTCTTGGCTATTGTACATTTTCTAGTTCCTTGAGGTATAAATTTAGGTTGGTAGGGATCTTTGTTTTTTTTTAATGTAGGCATTTATTGCTATGAACTTCCCTGTTAGGACAACTTTGGTTCCATCATTAGTTTTGGTATATTGTATTTCCATTTTCATTTGTCTCAAGATATTTTAAAATTTCTCTTTTGATTTCTTCTCTGACTCATTGGTTGTTCAGTAGCATGTTGTATAATCTCCACATATTTGTGAATTTTCATATTTTCTTCCTGTAATTGATTTCTAGTTTTATACCATTGTTGTCAGAATAGATACTTGACAAGAATTCAGTCTTTTAAAATTTATTAAGACTTGTTGTGGCCTAATATCTACCCTGGAGAATGTTCCATGTGCATTTAAGAAGAATGTGTATTCTGCTGATTTTGGATGGAATGTTCTATAAATGTTGTGTGTTTGGCCTCATGTGTCATTTAAGGCCAATGTTTCCTTATGCATTTTCTCTCTGCATGATCTAGCCATTGATGGAAGTGGGTAATGAAGTCCCCTACAATTATTATTGTATGGCTGTCCATTTCTCACTTTAGGTCTTTTAATATTTGCTTTATATATTTAGGTGCATGTATGTTGGGTACACAAATATTTACAAATGTTACGTCCTTTTGTTTGACCCCTTTATCATTATATAGTGATCTTCTTTGTCTCTTACTAGAGACTTTGTCTTAAAGTCTGTTTTGTCTGATACAAGTATAGCTATCCCAGCTTTATTTTGGTTTCCATTTGCATGGAATATCTTTTTCAGGACCTTCACTTTCAGTTTGTGTGTGTCCTTAAAGCTGAGGGAGTCTCTTGTAGGCAGCATATCACTGGGTCTTATTTTTTAATCCATTCAGCCACTTTGTGTATTTTTTTTTTTAAGTAGGCTCCATGCCCAATGTGGGGCTTAAACTTACAACCCTGAGATCAAGAGTTGCATGCTGTAGTGACCAAGCCAGCCAGGTGCTGCCCCCCCCAATTTTGTGTATTTTGATTGGAAATTTTAGTTCATTTACATTTAAAGTAGTTATTGGTACGTGTGTACTTACTGCAGTTTTGTTAATTGTTCTCTATTTAGTAATTCCTCTGTTTCTTTTCTTGCTTTGTGATTTGATGATTTTCTGTAGTGGTATCCTTAGATTCCTTTCTTTTTAAAAATTTTTATTTATTTTTTAATTATGTTCAATTAGCCAACATATTTGAGAGCGAGAGAGAGCACAAGCAGGGGGAGGGGCAAAGGGAGAGGGAGAAACAGTCTCCCCACTGAGCAGGGAGCCCAATGTGGGACTTGATCCCAGAACTGTGGGATCATGACCTGAGCCAAAGACAGATGCTAACCAACTGAGCCACTCAGGCGCCCTGGGTTTTCTGTTCTGTTCCATTGATCTGTGTGTCTATTTTTGTGCTGGTACCATACTGTTTTGATCACTACAGCTTTGTAATATATCTTGAAGTCTAGGATTGTGATACCTCCAGCTTTGCTTTTCATTTTCTTTTTTTTTAAACATGAAATGTTAAAAGTTTTTATTTAAATTCTAGTTAACATATAGTGTAATAATCAGTTCAGGAGTAGAATTTAGTGATTCATCACTTACATATAACACCCAGTGATCATCACAAGTGCCCTCCTTAATATCCAGTCCCCTGCTTTTCTGTTTCAAGATAGCTTTGGTTATTCAGAGTCTTTTGTGGTTCCATATAAATTTTAGTATTATTTCTTCTAGTTCTATGAAAAATGTTGTTGGTGTTTTGATAAGGATTGCATTAATTGTGTAGATTGCTTTTGGTAGTATAGACCTTTTAACAATATTCTTCCAATTCATGAGCATGGAATGTCTTTCCATATCTTTGTGTCACCTTCAGTTTTTTTCATCATTATTTTATAGTTTTCAGAGTACAGATCTTTCATCTCTTTGGTTAGGTTTATTCCTAGGTATCTTATTGTTTTTGGTCCAGTTGCAAATGAGATTGTTTTTTTAATTTCTCTTTCTGGTCCTTCATTTTTAGTGTATAGAAATGCAATGGACTTCTGTATACTGATTTTGTATCCTGTGACTTTACTGAATTCATGTATCAGTTCTAGCAGTCTTTTGTTGGAGTCTTTTGGGTTTTGTATATATAGTATCATGTCACCTGCAAATAGTGCAAGTTTTACTTCTTCCTTACCAATTTGGATGCCTTTTACTTCTTTTTGTTGTCTGCTGTGGCTGGGCCTTCCAGTATTATGTTGAATAAAAGTGATGAGAGTGGACATCCCTGTCTTGTTCCTGACCTTAGAGGAAAAGCTCTCAGTTTTTCCCCATTAAGGATTATGTTAGCTGTGGGTTTTTCATTGATGGCCTTTATTATGTTGAGGTATGTTCCCTCTAAACCTACTTTTGTTGAGTTTTTTTTTTTTTTTTTATCATGAATGGATGTTGTACTTTGTCAAATGCTTTTTCTGTATCTATGGAAATATCAAATGGTTCTTATTGTGATTTATCATTGATTTTCAAATATTGAACCACCCTTGCAACCCAGGAATAAATCCCACTTGATTGTGGTGAATGATTTTTTAAATGTAATGTTGGATTTGGTTTGCTAATACTTCATGGAAGATTTTTGAGCCTATGTTCATCATAGATATTGGCCTATAGTTGTCTTTTTTTGTAATGTCTATCTGGTTTTGGTATCAGGGTAATGCTGGCCTCATAGAATACATTTGGAAGCTTTCCTTCATCTTCTATTGTTTTGGAATAGTTTGAGAAGAGTAGGTATTAACTCTTTAAATGTTTGGTAGAATTTGCCTGTGAAGCCAAAAGCCATCCTGGACTTTTGTTTGATGGGAGTTTTTTGATTACTGATTCAATTTCTTTGCTGATAATTGGCCTGTTTAAATTTTCTATTTCTTCCTGTTTCAGTTTTTTTTTTTTTCAGCATCACCTTGATTTATTTTCCTAGTCTTTTTTTTCCTCAGAAGGAAAAATAATTTCATCAAGAAAACAAATGTTCCTGCCAAAATGAAAGAATTTCTTTTAATGCTTTTCTTTAAAAAAAAAAAAAAAAAGTCGGGCGCCTGGGTGGCTCAGTCGTTAAGCGGCTGCCTTTGGCTCAGGTCATGATCCCAGAGTCCTGGGATCGAGTCCCACATCGGGCTCCCTGCTCAGCGGGAAGCCTGCTTCTCCCTCTCCCACTCCCCCTGCTTGTATTCCTGCTCTTGCTGTCTCTGTCAAATAAATAAATAAAATCTTTAAAAAAAAAAAAGTCAACATTGAATTAGAGCATGCCGTGCTCCCCCATTTTGCTGACCAAAGTTTTTGGTTTTGTTTTTGTTTTTTAAATCCACTGGCAGAAAACAAGATATTTTCCTCAGATAGGATGATTGTATTTTATTGCTGCTTTGTTTAGTATATATTTTTCTCAATTGGGAAAAAAAGTCTAGGTGAAAAAATTATCTAACAAGAAAAGTAGTTTACATGGTCATAACACGTAAATTGCTGCCAAAAGAAAAAAAATGGAAAAAAAAAAGATTTTAAATGTAAAATATCACATAACTTCAAAAAACTTACCTCAATTTTCTACCATGTATCATGTACTATAAGTCAACTTTCTAAATAGGATTACAGTCCTTTATTATAAGCCCCTAGTGGTCCTATGGTATGCATTTAAAAAAACGCTACTACAAAATTTTTCTGTTCTTTGTGTTTCTGCCTATTGTGTACTTAAGCTATAGATAATTTTTGAATAAAAAGCCTACATAGGTATAAATGCAATAGTTAACTGATCCTGTTTGCTGATGTCCTTTTCATGTTCCACAGAAGGTGGCATCTATTGGTCCAGCATCTTCTCCTGTTTCTTCCCTTCCTTTTTCTTCTTCTTAGATTCTGCTTGAGGTTTGGGCTTAGTCAGCTTGCCACAGGGCTTGGAGATGGTGACTGTCTTCTGGCAGTCGGCGTTGTGGAGGGCTCGCTTCAGACTTCCAGTTCTGGTCGCATTCTCCCCAGGCCTGGAACTGGTATTTGCACTCTGCTCCAAATTGCTTTTTCCAGTTGCAGGGGATCTTACATCTCTGGGTCTTCATGGTTTGCTTACACTCGGCTCCAGTCCGGGTGCCCTCCCGGGTGCCCAGGCCACAGTCCCCACTGGTGGGCACGCACACACTCCACTGCCATTCCCCACAGTCAGACTTCTTCACTTTTTTTCCTGCCTCCTCTTTCTTCCCTGCTTCAGCAGTGTCCACAGCTGCCAAGATGAAAACGAATGCCAGGAAGGCAGCTGCAAGTTTCCGACGCGGCTGCACGCACTGTGGGTCCTGCATTTTGGAGTTGCAAACGCTGCGCGCGCTCGGGCTGCCTTTGTTGAACGCGGCGAGGCTCTGCGCTCTGTCGGGTGCCCGTGGCCGCCGGCCGCCCGCCGCGGCTGCGCCCTCGCTCCCGGGTGGTGACGGCCCGGGCTCCCGCTCCCCTGTGCCCGCTTCGGCTCGGCCTCCGCGCGGCGGCGCCCTTGGCGGGATTTGGGACGGGCAGGCTGGGACCCCGATCCAGCCTCGGCCTCCGCTGCGCCCTGCCGGGGAGGGAACGGAAGCCCTGTTTCAGTTTGATAGGTTGTGTGTTTCTAGGAATTGATCCACTTCTAGGCTGTCCAGTTTTTTGGCATATAGTTCTTCCTAATACTCTTATAATTTCTGTGTGGTGTTGTTATTTCTCCTCTCTTATTTGTGATTTTATTTATTTGGATCCCTTCTCTTTTTTTCTTGATAAGTCTGATAAAAAAAAATAAAATCATAAAATAAAAAAATAAAATTTATCAATTTTATTGATTTTTTTTTCCAAAGAACCAGCTTCTGCTTTCACTGATCTGTTCTATTGGTTTTTTTAGTGCTATATCATTTATTTCTGCTCTAATATTTATTATCGCTTTCCCTCTGCTGGTATTAGGTTTTGTCTGCTGTTCTTTTCCTAGCTCCTGTAGGTTTAAGGTTGGGTTGTTCATTTGAGATTTTTCTTGCTTCCTGAGGTAGGCCTGTATTGCTATAAACCTCCCTCTCAGAACTGCTTTTGCTGCATCTCAAAGGCTTTGAACTGTTATGCTTTCATTTTCATTTGTTCCCATGTACTTTTAAATTTCTTCTTTTATTTCCTGGCTGACCCATTTATTGTTTAGTAGCATGTTATTTAACCTCCATGTATTTGCAGTCTTTCCAGACTTTTTTTTCTGGTTGACCTCTAGTTTCATAGTGTTGTGGTCAAAAAAGGTGCATGGGATGACTTCCATCGTCTTGAATTTGCTTGTTTTGTGGTCTAATATGTGATCTATTCTGGAGAATGTTCTGTGTGCACTTGAAAAGAATGTGTATTCTGCTGTTTTAAGATGGAATGTTCTGAATATATCTGTTAAATCCATCTGGTCTAGTGTGTCATTCAAAGCCATTGTTTCCTTGCTGATTTTCTGTTTAGATGATCTGTCCATTGCTGTACATGGGGTGTTAAAGTCTCCTACTTTTATTGTATTACTAATGATTTGTTCCTTTATGTTGTTAACTGTTTTATGTATTTGGGTGCTCCTTTGTTGGGTTCATAAATATTTATAATTGTTATATCTTCTTGTTGGAATATCCCCTTTATTATTATATAGTGTCCTTCTTTATCTCTTGTTATAGTCTTTGTTGTAGTCTATTTTGTCTGATATAAGTGTTGCTACTCCAGCTTTCTTTTGACATCCATTTGCATGATAGATGTTTCTCCATTCCCTCACTTTCAATCTGCAGGTGTCTTTAGGTTTAAGATGAGTCTCTTGTAGGCAGCATATAGATGGGTCTTTTTTTTTTTTTTTTTTTAATCCATTCTGTCACCCTATGTCTTTTCATTGGAGCATTTAGTTCACTTACATTCCAAGTTATTATTGATAGATATGTACTTATTGCCATTTTATTACTTTTTTGGTGGTTGCTTTTGAAGATTTTCTCTGATCCTTTCTTGTCTTTCTTGCTTTTATGGTTTGCTGGATTTCCTTAGTGATATATTTGGATTTCTTTCTCTTTATTCTTTGCATATTAGTGGTTTTTGATTTGTGGTTACCATTAGGTTTGTATATAACATTTTCTGCATATAGTAGTCTATGTTAAGTTGATGGTCATTTAATTTTGAACTCATTCTTTACTCCTCTCCTCCCCATGTTTTAGGTATATAGTGTTATATTTTACATCCTTTTATTTTGTGACTTCCTTGACTCATTTTTTTTTTAACAGAAATATTCATTTTTACTGCATTTTGTTTCCTACCTTCATACTGTGATTTTGGTCTTTCCTTTCCACCCAAAGAGTCCCCTTTAATATTTCTTGAAGGGCTGGTTTAGTGATCATGAACTTTTATTTGTCTGGGAAACTATTTCTCTTTCTATTCTGCATGATAGCCTTGCTGGATAGAGTATTCTTGGCTGCAGGATTTTCTCATTCAGCACTTTGAATAGATCATGCCATTCTTTTCTGGTTTGGAAAGTTTCTGCTGAAAAATCCCCTGATAGCCTTATGGGGGTTTCCTTTGTATGTAACTGTCTTCTTTTCTCTTGCTGCTTTTTTTTTTTTTTTTTTTTTTTTAAGATTTTATTTATTTATTTGACAAAGAGAGACACAGCGAGAGAGGGAACACAAGCACGGGGAGTGGGAGAGGGAGAAGCAGATTCCCCGCCCAGCAGGGAGCCCGATGTGGGGCTCGATCCCAGGACCCTGGGATCATGACCTGAGCCGAAGGCAGACACTTAACGACTGAGCCACCCAGGGGCCCCTGTCTTGCTGCTTTTAATATTTTTTTTTTGTTATCACTGTATTTTGCCATTTTAAATACAATTTGTCTTGGTGTGGATCTGCTTTCATTGATTTTGTTGGGGGTCCTCTGCTTCCTGGATCTGGATATCTGTTTCCTTCCCCAGATGAGGGAAGTTTTCAGCTATTATTTCTTCAAATAAATTTTCTTACCCCTTTTCTCTCTCTTCTTCTGGGACTCCTATAATATGAATATTATTATGTTTGATGCAGTCACTGAATTCCCTAAGTCTAATCTCATTTTGCATAATTCTTTTTTTCTCTCTTTTGTTCAGCTTGATTACTTTCCATTACTCTGGCTTCTGAGTCATTACTTGGTTTTTCTGCTTCTTCCAAGCTATTCATTCCTTGAGCATGTTTCTTATTTCATTTATTGAGTGCTTTATCTCTGCTATATTATTCCTTATCTCTGTGTTGATAGTCTCACTGCTGTACTCTATTCTTTTCTCAAGTCCCATGAATATCTTTATTATCATTGCTTTAAATTCTCCATCAGGCATGTTACTTATATCTGTTTCACTTACATCTCTGGCTGTGGCCTTGCCCTGTTCTTTCATTTGGAACAAATCCCTTTGTCTTCTCATTTTGTCTAAGTCTCTGTGCCTGTTTTTTTTTGTGTGTTAGGAAAGTCAGCTATGTCTCTTGTTCTTGAGGGTGATGGCTTTGTGAAGAAGAGGTTCTGTAGTGCTCTGCAGTGTAGTGTCTCCCATTCCCCAGGCCCTGGCACTTCTGGGAGTGTCTCTAATGTGTGCTGTGTACTCTCTGCTATTGTGTCCTGGCTGCTTTATCCTTCAGGCCAGTCATCTGCAGAGGCTCTCTTTGTCGGCTGCGGGCAGTGTTGGTCCCTGGCCTGAATGTGGTGAATTTTAACTAGGTGTGCTCTGGTCTGCTTGTGAAATGAGACCAATGGCCACTGCCACTGGAACTAAAGCCTCTCAAAACTCCCGGGTTAGGAGATGTGGTGTTGGCAGGGGTTTGGGTTGGTCTTCTTGGGGAGGGGGCCCACCGCACTGCGACTGAGGCAAGCGTGACAGAGAAGGGTGGTTTTTCTGGAGTGCACTGGGGCAGGGCTTGGTGTAAGCAAGTCATGTAGTGAGTGTTGGCTCTCCCTCCACAGGTTCCCACAGGTGGCTCTGTTTATGCTGAGGGGCAGAGGGGAGAAATAGCACCTGTTAGTTCCTTTGTTCTCAGAGGCATCTCACTGTGAATGTTCCTTCTCTGGGACATGCTCTGAGATTAGCAACTAACCTCTGCACTCTGTGCCTCAGGCGCTCTTCAGATTGTTTCCATGCTGTCTGTCCACAGGCTATTTGCCCAGCCTCTTCTCCAAGAGCAGCGCCAATGTCCTCCAAGCTCTCCCAGAGCCAAGCACGCTGACCTTTAAAACTCCAGGCTTTAAGCCCCATTGGTTGCAAGAACTCATGAAATCCGGGCTCTCTTGCTTTCTAAGCCAATTGCTATGGAGATTAGTTTTTCCCATGCACTCCCCTGTGTGCTAGACTGTCTCTTGCCTTTCTCCATGACTGTGGCTCCCTCCCCACTACAGTGGCCACGATCCATTCTCTCCCAAGCTACATCCCCACACCTCCTGCCTTCTTCGATTTGGCCTCTTCTCTATCTTTAGTTGTGGTGTTTGCTCTGCCAATCTTCAGATCAGTTTCTGGGGTATTTAGGATGATTTAGTAGTATTCTAGTTGTATTTGTGGGATGAGGTGAGCCAAGATCTTCCTACTCTGCCACCATCTTCCCTGTAGTCTCATTTGAATGCATTTTAGAGCTCTATATTTTTACTCTCCCCACCCCACATTTTGTTTTTGATGTCGCAATTTAAATCTTTTTATCTTGTGTATCCAGTAACAAATTATTGTAGTTATGATTTTTTGTTATGTAGTTATTAGTATTAATTATGTAGTATTATTTTTACTATTTTTGTCTTTTAACCTTCATACTAGGTTTACAAGTGATTTACCCATCACCATCATAACAGATTATTCTGAATTTATATATCTTTACTACTGAAATTTATACTTTCATATGTATTTCTTACTAATTAGTACCTCTCATTTCAGCTTAATGAAATCCTTTTAACATTTTCTTGGAAGGTTGATCTAGTGGTGCTGACTCCTTTGGCTTTTGCTTGTCTGGATGACTCTCTCATTCAATTCTGAAGGACAATTTTGCTGCGTAGAGTATTCTTTTTTTTTTTTTTAAGATTTTATTTATTTATTTGATAGAGACATAGTGAGAGCAGGAACACAAGCAGGGGGAGTGGGAGAGGGAGAAGCAGGCTTCCCGCAGAGCAGGGAGCCCGATGCGGGACTCGATCCCAGGACCCTGGGATCATGACCTGAGCCGAAGGCAGACGCTTAACGACTGAGCCACCCAGGCGCCCTGAGTAGAGTATTCTTGTATGGCAGTGTTTTTCTTTGAGCACTTTGAATTTGTCATGCCACTCTCTTCTGTCCTGCAAAGTCTCTGCTGAAAAATCTGCTGATAGT